TAACATATCGTACAATGTGCAGGGTTTTCCTGGATATGTTAAGTCCATGGTTAACACAGTAGAAACTGACCTTACTCTATTTTACTATTCATACTGAGAACATACTAACTGTAACCTCTACTACGGTATTTTTTTTTCTTTTCAGACACATTGCACAACTACGTGACGTATTTCTTATAATCTTACAAAGTGTACGTTTTGTAATCTTAGAGAAGTGTATTTTTTGTAACCTCCTAAAATGTACGTCCTCAAAATATTCATATAAACTATATATGTTACAGAGGTCTTTTCAATTTCACCAAAGGTAAAATTGAAAGGAGAATCTGTGACGTAGAGACCTAATGTTTTATTTGATTGGCCGTACCCTCTGCTTTGGACTGCAGTTTCGCTAATACGTCACAGATTCTCCTTTCAATTTTTACCTTTGTTGAAATTGAAAAGACCTCTGTAACATAAATATGTAATCATTAAATACTTGGTCCGATATATAATGTGAAATAATGATTTAAGCACGAACTCTAATATCTAAATACTTAAATTATTTGTGGTTACTTTGTTGGTGATTGAAATGGTCATAAAAACCCCATTTATGTTCTTATAAACTAGTCTTATACACCATCTACACAGAAGAAATCGTTATAAATCACTCTTTACACAAATGTAAATTGTATTCTGGAATCCACAGTAATTAAGTTACGAATAGCGTCTACGACAAATAAGTAAAACAGTAACAGTTGAAATCTGGTAACAAGTCTTAAAAATAATTGTATAAATCATAATGTGAAATAAAATAGCAACATTTCGTTGGTCATCAGATTGTTAAAGTGCAAAAAAAAAATTTTTTTAGAAGTTGTATCAGACTATAACAAATAGAAAAAGAAGCATACTTACAGTTTTAGAAGTTATGTACTTTAACTAAGTGTTTAGAAAATACGCTACAGCTGTGACGTAATTGTGTGGTATGATGATATGGCCACGAGACCTTCCGAATCACTAGAGTATTTTCAACTATATGACAGCAAAGCACATTCGACATATACATATACAATTATTACATTCACACAATGCCACACTTTTTAATAGTATGTATGAGTTTACAAGCGTTCATTCGATAGTTATCGATAAGTTGTTCTGAGTAAGCAGGTCACTCATCTACTGACGTCATTGTTTGAATTGTCCAATGAAAAGTGCATGTTTTGAAGGTGGAATATATCACTGACGTTGAATACTAGTCAACCATATAAAAATACGAGTCTACGATGGCCAACTAGGATAAAGACTTTTTATTTCATTCAATGCCGCCATATTGGACATTAAACACTTCTTTTATAGCAATATCCATATCAATACAAAGTTTTGTAAAACTACATTCTGTTAATGGTGTAAACATGGCCTTTGGCAAAAGATAGAGATGCGAAACTCTACAGCTGTTCAGTTTATATGTTAGGCACATCGCCGAGTTGATTTACCGCGTCAGATAAAAAACGATGTTATTAAACAAATTTGTCATTTTTCATATAAGACGATTGTAAGCATTTGACGTCCGATATGGCGAAGTAAACTATACACCACGTGACTTTCTTGATGTCAGTATTGCAGCGAATGCATTCGAAGCAGATCTCATGAAGGCAACATTCCTCACACCTGTTGGAAAAACTGCGAAGGTCCATCAACGGCCATGCAAGCAGACATCATCATCACAGGATTTATAAACAGCGGGGAATCTGAAAATCACAAGATGACGACTTTAATGTGTATAAAACAATATTAGAAAGGATAAGGGGTAGAAAAATTGAATGTTCCAACCAGAGGTTAATTGGCTCACTGGGATACCGGACAATTGCCGGTTCATTTGACGCATTTTTAATTTTAAGTTTTAATTGTTTAGCCAGTATACAGCGTGTGATATTGCCCGGGCTGGACCTTTAATGCCAATCCGCCCCTGGTTCCAACCTCCTAGTAAAATATTATGGTGGTTTCTTACCAATCAGAAAAATAATCGCCTCAAGAGCCATGTCCGTGGAACAAGAAATCGTTAAAACGAATATCTAACCAGAGCTGAAAAATTAAATTTAAATTAAATTTAAATTTTAATTAAATTTAAATGCTATTCTAAGTTCCGTTCTAACGTTACAAAAGAAAACAACCAATCATGAACAGCTAGCAATAGCGTCATTGAAATAATGCCCAGAACACTGTTGGCAATCATTATGGACAATTTGGATAGGCCCGGCATGGCCAGGTGGTTAGGGCACTCGACTCGCAATATGAGGGTCGCGGGTTCGAATCCCCGTCCCACCAAACATGCTCGCCCTTTCGTTGGTAAAAGAGTAGCCTAAGAGTTGGCGGTGGGTGGTGATGACTAGCTGCCTTCCCTCTAGTCTTACACTGCTAAATTAGGGACGGCTAGCGCAGATAGCCCTCGTGTAGGTTTGCGCGAAATTCAAAACAAACGAACAGTTTGGATATTTAGTCAGGAAAGCCTCCCAGCGTCACAGCGATATGTCTGCAGACTTATAAGGCTAGAATCCGGGTTTCGATATCCGTGGTGGGCTGAGCACAGATAGCCCATTGCGTAGCTTTGTGCTTAATTACAAACAAACAATTGCTTGTGTGTGATATTTTTTTAAATCTAGAATATGAACTTTGAGTTACTTTGTCCTTTGACTGAGGGGTTTAGCCAGAATGTTGTTGTTAAGCGCAAAGCAACAAAAAGGGTTATCTATACTCTGCCCACAACGGGTATCGGAGCCCGGTTTCTTGCGGTGTAAGTCCGCAGACATACCGCTTCTTAGCCAGAATTCAACAGGGTTCACAGAGACTTTACAAAGGAAATACCAGAAGAATCCGTGTTGAAATTTTTAGGACTCTCAAACATGCAGGACTAGAATTTTTCCTTCATCAAACTCACAGTAGGAATTACAACTGTCTCAAGTCTCGCAAAGCACGAGATTCACTATGGCAAATACAAAACCTTAACAAACCCAATTCCGATAAACGATCTTCATTATTATTATTATATTTTGGAGCCCAAACTTAAAAACAGTGGATTTTCCACGATTTCCAGTACAACAATTTTATGAACTAATTTTCTATGACTTTCAGGAATACAAGAATCTGTATGAACCGAGTGGATCAAAAACTTTAACACATGCAGAGGATACCTGGAAAATGTGTGAAAAATTGGAAGTAATTACACTAAATGGTTGAGTATTCCTTGAGAACATAGACTTCATTCAACCATACGAGTACATGTATAATACAATATCCAAATCCTACATAAGTTAGTTCTTCAGTAAAAAGAGGGGAACTTTTCCTCATAAGGATAAATTCTCTTAAAACTGTTGAAAGAAACAAGCCAATGAAACTGATACACTCCCGTTAAAAACATCTAAATTTAGGAAGTAATATACCTGTTCAAATAATGGGGCATCAACCCTTTCTCAAAATTTGTATATTCCCATATTAAAGACATTCTTCTTTAAATACTTTACTTTCTTGAGCTTGTTCTCTCCATAATAGTTTTTGTTCATGCAACTGGTGATATAAATAATGGCCAGATCACTATTGGATGTAGCAGATATAGCATAGTTGACATCTTATTACAGTTATTGTTCATGCAACTGGTGATATAAATAATGGCCAGATCACTACTGGATGTAGCAGATATAGCATATTTGACATCTTATTACTCATTCTTTACTTTCATTTATACATTCTTTGAAATAATATGTTACTACTATATAACAGTTCAAATTATCCACATCTATATGTGTCCTGCCTTCCAAAACAGATCAGTCAATACTTTTTGAATGAATGATTTTATTCAAACTACATGCTTGTACAAGAAGGAAACTACATAGTAATATACATACAAAATTTTGTCAAAATGAATCATTTTTGATGTTGTTTTTCTCAAGAATCTGAGAATTTACACACAAAAAAAATCTAAGCTTAAACTATCTCTTAACATCAAATGCTTAAATGTAAAATGTAAAAAAAAAAGATAAAAAAAAAGATCAAACACACACCAACCATAAAGTTTAAACAGATTCAGCAAAAAGACTTGGTAATAGTAAAACATTACTGCATTATATATCAATGTTAATTTCAGAACATTCTGATATTCTTCAGATAGAAGTTTAGATTTGTCTTTTGGTTTATATACTGATCTTTGGTAAACCCCACACAAAAATTAGTGATATATAAACATAGGTTCCAAAAGCATTCACCTTCTAATATTAAAACCTTTTTTAAATAAAGGTTCACCTTTGTGAGCATTAACTAAGGAAATATAAGAACATTCCTACACTGTTTTCCATAAAAAAAAAAAAAAAACAAGTTTCAAAATGTTGGAAAAATCAGAAGGTTCAACAGTTATTTTATAAATTTTTCTGGATACATTACTTTAACTGAATAATTAGCAATTAAAAAATAATAATAATAACACGAATGAGAAATTTCTTTTTTGAGAATATCTAAATGTTTATTAAACTGTCCATCATCATGCCATGGCATTTCTCTTCAAATCTTGACATTATTTTTATATTTTAACTAAAAAATGTATAGTTTAACATAATTATCAAATGCCTATTTTCCTATGAAAGTCTTTTATTCATCTATCTGCCAGAAAAAGAAAAAAACTCATGAGAAAGAACCAATAATAGCATACAAATTTAAATTCAGAACTACATTTTCAATTTAAATGATTTTTCTACCATACTGAAAAACAGTTCATGCACACTGTGCACGATTATATTTTACATAAAACAAACTACAAATAATATAAAAACAAATTCATATCAATTCCTCTTACAATAGGAGTAAACTTTTTGTATTTACTCAATAAAACATAGCGTTTAGCATATTTTATTTTAGGTTTTTACACACTGTAAACCTACCTTGCACTGTAACAAATTATACATTTACATTGTGCAAATAAATTTTGAACTAAAAAAAAACAAACTTGTTTTACACTCCTGAGTCACGATTTCAAATTGATCTGAAAATCAAAATTCTTCAGCCTTGCTTTCTGACAGTGAAAATACCATGCATCAAAATACAAATCATAAAATAAAATCCTGTAGCTTACTTATTCTCTACTGCTAACTAAAGGATGCTACTGAAATAACTGTATCACACACACTAAATAACAACACTCTACAAAACTGAACAATTATGGAAAGATGGTTCAGCAAAATGACTTGCACATCACAATAGTTAGTATGTATAGTCTGTTTCATAAAAATATGGCCCGTTTGTCGGGACTACTGTTTTATTAATCTATTGATATATATACTTTCATATCACAAAATTATTCTCAAAGTATACTACTTCTTAAAATCATAACTTTTTGTTGTTTTCTTTCAAATACTTAACGGCTTTTCGTTTATGTGAGCTGACTTGTTATATACGGGACCAACAAAAATGAAAGACTAAAAACAACTTATCTTCTACCAAACATATACAGTGACAAATAAAATTTTATACAAAACAAATAATAAATCACAAAACAATGAATGGAGAGAAAATCCCAGCAATACGGACAAATCAAGCTAAAAACAACTAGAAAAGAAACTTTACGACAAATCAATGGTACCTAAACTAATCATGAAACCTTAAATAGTCTCAAAATTAAATTAAACATATAAAAATATTGCTCAAATTACACGTTATTGGTAAAATTACTTGATCCCACATAAGAATGTAAAAACAAAAAGCAGTCACACTCAGTGTTGTGTAAAACCACTCAGATGCTTACTGAATCTATGTATTACGACTTAAATTTCTTAATGTTGCAAACTTCTTCTGATAAGTAAACAAATCAAGAAAGCCACTAACATAATCAAACAAACTCTGGATGTATACATCAGAGACTAGAAAATACTGGATTATCCAAACAATAAATCAAAGGTTACGGAGTTCAAAGACCTGAGAATCACCGAAATAAAAAGATATACTACACCTGAAGAGTGGATTAATCAAGCAGGTGATACAGGAGTCAAACAGTGAGAACAATACATATCACTCAATCTTAAGCCTAACAGATAATATACAGCAACTTTCAGATTAATTCTAATGCCTGACAGAAACTACATATTACAGTTAATTCTAAAGCCTGACAGAAACTACATATTACAATTAATTTTAACGCCTGACAGAAACTACATATTACATTTAATTCTAAAGCCTGACAGAAACTACATATTACAGTTAATTCTAAAGCCTGACAGAAACTACATATTACATTTAATTCTAAAGCCTGACAGAAACTACATATTACAGTTAATTCTAAAGCCTGACAGAAGCTACCTGCTTCAGCTTATAGTTCACAATCTAAAAGCATACCTATAAACAATTTATAATAATTTTTGTATAACTTAAAAACATTTAGCTACAATCACTGTTTTAAGGTCTGGCAGAACAGATAAGATAGAGCATACATAAAATTTCAAAGTTTAAAAGATTGGACATATTACAGTAAATGTTCCACACTTATCCACAAACTTTGGGGGTCTATCAGTTCAGGTACAAACTGAAGACCACACCTGCATTAGACACACAAAATTATCCTCGAAACAAAAAACTACAGTATAGGATATAATAACAAAAATGAATGTATCAATCGAATAATGGAAATCTGCAAAACACAAGTGGGATAAACTTTTATTATACACCACAACCAGTCCAAAATAAAGTTACATCTTGATATAAACGGTGTAATTTAGAAATAAAAGCACTTCAAAGAATGGAATGGTTAAGTTAGTGCAACAGGTGAAACTGTAAAGTCTTATGAAAATAATTAGTTTATACAGCAGAAAGTCTGAAAACAAGTTGCAGTCGATTATACACAACCTTTTAAGATCAGAAAGAAAAAGATATTACAGGGTATTCATCAGTTAGAAGTTTTAAAGTATCACATTGACATATGCAGCATTAATGAAGTTTAAAATGTCAGAATAAATTTTCTTACAGCCACAGCACACTACTACTACTAAAGTAAATGAATAATTAAGAAATCCTTTTCCTTCCTTCCTTCATTATGGGTTATTAGTATTTGATTTAGCTTTAATTCCTAAATATTCTGTTTTATTATCTTTTTCATCTTAATACTTCTACAAACTTTGAAAATAAAATGGAACACTTATCAATTTAAATTTTTGCCCTATCAGAGGATGCAACCTAAGGTTTGCCCATAAATTTTCTGCATGTGTTCAAATAAGTCCTATTTTTAGTAAGTCCAATAAAAGAAACAATAAAATATCTACCCATTAAACAAGTTCACCCATTACGAACCGAAACCACAACTAAAACCTTATAAAAATAGAGACCAACATTAAATATGTTGATACCCTTTTTCTAACCCCAAAATCAATTTTAATGTACACAGTTATATTTTTTCATTGTCAAAAGTACACAACTCACAAGACAATTTATTAAATCCTTATTTTTTTTTTTACTATCAGTTAATATCTATTAGCTGGAAAGATAAAAATTATTTAAAAACAACAGATATTTCACTAAAGTTGACTGGATAACTACACAGCAGTAATGTCTAGATATAAAGATTACACATTATTACATGTGATCACATTATACTTTGATCAAATCATACCACTAGCATATACATATAAGAAACAATCACCAAACTTAATGCTAAAAACCTTCTACCTGTAACATTACTAAATATCTTAAAACACTAGCCTGTAGTAACAGTAAAAACCAGACGTGAAATCCAAATTACTTAAATTCAACACTCACATACAACCATGTTTTTTTTTCTTCTTTGTTTCAGTTAGTAAGCATCATAATTCTTTTCTATAACACTCCCATCTATTTTGTATGAAAATCATAATTACTAATCATCTTTCTACACAGTTAGTATAAACACTTATTCATTGAGGACCTGATCAATGTTTTATCTTCCAAGACATTCTGGTGTTATTTTGTTTATTATTTGAAATGTAAAATGAAGAAAAACTGATCATCTCACAGTAGTCAAGTTTTCATACCACATGTTCCTTCGTTTCCTTTTGAAGCTCCAGTTCTTCATGGATGTTCGCTACAATATTTTATAAACATTGCAAATGATGCCTCTGTAACATTTACAACAGCAGTTCGACTTTTGAATTTTCTGCAAATGATTCTCCACAACCTTCCTTTAATTCAACTTGCTTTTCTTTTCCAAGTTTCACTTTTCTTAAATCAGTCTCTTTTCTTGTTTTAACAGTGATGTTACGATCATATCTCAGAAAGTTTTTTAATCCAAAACCAAAAAAAGAAAACAAAAATAGTACGTCAGTTCAAAAAAAAGAATTTTTTTTATATAACAGAAGAATAAGTTTTTTGACAACAAACATAACAGATGTTACACACTGCTTTGTCTTCCACTTCTTCCCACACACCTCCGACCCATCTTTTTCTCTTTTAACAATCCCATAATTTGGTGCTAAAGCTAACCACAAAAAGCCAGAAGAAAAATAAAGAATAAGATAAACTTCCAAACCATCACAGCAGTTCCCGTTTTTCTGCTCTACTAAAAAGTCTGATCTTCTCCAGCACCATGCCAATGCTAGAACTTAGTAGCTTTAGCACTCTTTTCCTATTACCCATTTACTCCTCCACTTCAGCCCAGGCTTCTTCTGCCAACATATAGAATTTGTTAGCGAGTCGACCCTTCATGGCTGCCATGGCAACATCTGCTGCTTCATGGTATAATTCACCTATCAGATTTAATAACTGTATTAATATGACAAAACAGTGTTTAATCTTGATGCAACGTGTATAAACTGAGCATGAACTACCAAATCTTTTCATTACAGCAAAATTTCTTTTAATTCAAAAAATAAACTTGTCTTTTCTAAACTACAAGCACCGAGTCAATCTGGTTTGTTACCATCAGTGTTCCAACTAATTATTACCAAACGACTATTGGCCCATTGTATTAAACACACAGCACCTGCCAGATTGCTAGGCAGTCATATATGCACCCAGCTTAAAGGAAACCATTGACTGCTATTGAGCTTACAAACAAATCCAACAATGTTCAGCCTTATATTATAGTTAACTTTACTGTTTTGAAATTTATAGACAATAGGCTTTGAAACCTACTTAATCTTCATGCACTGTATTATGCTTCAAATACAGCATCTTTGACCAGATATTCTTTAACATTAGATATTATACTAACTATGTCACAAAGGCAAGAAATCATTAAATGTCATACACTTCATGATTTATCTAAAATGTCGAAGTTAACAAATTATCAAATGCCACAAAAAATAAATCCTTAAACATGTCACGAAGCTAACAAATCAATAAATTTGTCCCAGATTTAACAGATTATTAAATAAAGCTCACAAGTTTATTAGCAAAGTAATAAAGATGTCACAGTTACCAAATAACAAATGTCACAAAGACAATCACTAAACATGTCACAAAGCAAACAAATCAATAAATTTGTCCCAGATTTAACAGATTATTAAATAAAGCTCACAAGTTTATTAGCAAAGTAATAAAGATGTCACAGTTACCAAATTACAAATGTCACAAAGAAAATCACTAAAGTTACAAATTAAAAACTAAAATGTCACTAATTGGACAAATTGATAAACACACCATAAAGTTGCTAATTACTAAATACATCAAAAATTTAAAAAAATTTTTTAAACATCACCAAGTCAGCAAACTAGTAAATATTATTAACTTTGAATGGTATTTCACAGATGTTGGATGGCTTTAATTTGAAAAAAGCATAAATCGTTCCATTTAGCTTTGAATATTTAATCATTATGTTGTTCCATTTCTATAACAAATGGAGCGAAATTCGTAATCTAAATCTCTTAATTGAAATATCTCGTACCCATCAATATTATCTCACAAAAACACACCACAAATGTATAATTTTACACGTACACACCTGCTCTATTGGGATCTTTTTCAAGACCATAACCTCCTTGTCTGTACAGATCTGCTTCTCGAAACAGCAGCTGGTAGGGTGGGTCATCCAAGTATGCATCAAATTCCTCCTTTTCTAGTTTGACTGCTTTATCATACCAGTGCACAGCATCTTTCCAGGACTTCTTCCTGTACCCAATTTATTGAAAGGTATCTACTACATAAAGCTAAACTAAGTACAGCTTCTATACGGAGGCCTTCTTTAGGACCTGAAGATGGCCTCCGTATAGAAATCAAAATACAGTCTCCTTTACTTTCAACAGGCAGTTACAGATGATTCAAGTTCTCAAACCTATTATGTCTACTCTGCCTAAGTTCCCCTGAGACAATAAGTAAATCTGTCTGATACCAGATTTAGAGCTCCAATAAAAATTGTCTAAAGTTACTAGGCTTCATTATGTGACAAGTTGGATTTAGTGAAAATAGCCATAATTTAACTACTTATTTTACTATTCCAAAAAATCAAAATATTTTCTATGTCGTCTATGAATACGCCCTATGAATAATAAGCAAAAATGTGAAATTGTCCGACATTCTTCATTTTATTTAAATCTATATTACCTACTTCATTTGTACTACTACTTTCATTTTCTCACTACACTTTTTTGTATTCGAACTGTTTACTTATCATTTATTACAAATTACTAGTGTAATTACCACTGTGTTTGTTTTGTACCTCTAGATTACTAAAGATGGAATTTTGAAGATTCCAAAACGTTTAATAAATGCTTCATATTATTACGTTCGTGTTTTACTTTATTATTAAATTATGTTTTCCAAAAAATGCATCATTTATCTATTTTAAAATATGGTTGTCTGCAAGTTATAAAACTCCCAATTAATATTCTAGTGCAAAATTAAAAAAAACCTGAAAGATAATTATCATTTCCCACAAAAAAAACTTTCCAACATCAAGTTAAGCCTACAGTAATAATGCATGTTGTACATAGGAAGTAGACATCATACCTCGAGGTACCCAAGTTATCCCCAGTATCAAAAGATTTTGCCATGTAAATGATAGCAGCTCTATCACCACCTTCAGCAGCCTGAAGCATGTATTCCACGCCTTTCTCTTTATTCTCTGGGGTATCCTAAAGAAAGAGAGAGAGAGAAAAACCTACAACACTGACACAAATTTTTATGATACCTTACTTGCTAAATACAAGTGATAATCTACTATCCAACTTACTAGTAAAGCTTCTGAACTTTGACAAGGTGAAATATCAGTTTACCCAAAGAACAAATAGACAGGCATATAACCTTTCCAGGTACATATTATTGTATAATCAAGTATTTCCATTTATTATTGTACAAGTAAAACACTGGGCTTCACTTCCATAAGAAGTGGGCATATATCAGACTGGACTTTGTCATCAACAGTTGGTGTACACCTAGTAGTCCAATTTAAGTTAACTTTTAGGATCTGACCTCTCTCTTTCCCCAAGATAGCATTTCAAAATAACTCAGAGCAGATTAACTAAATTAACAAAGCTTTTGGTCTGGCCAAGGCAGAATCTGGATTTCATCTGTCTCACACCAGTGTTGAATTGCATCAATACAGCCAATGCAATACAGTTATAATACATGGCATTCCTTAAAACTGATCACTGATCAAGCTAAACAAGTTCACATCATGATGCTATTCCTTCTATTCTTGATGGTTGGTATGACGACACATCCAAAAACATTCTTCAAGTTACTAGTTAACCCAGACCCATCCATCTGAAGAAAACAATGGTTACTGGGATTCATCACTTTATGACATTCTTCAACCAAATATCGATACTCAAAACACCATGAGAGCAATGTCTTACACCAAAACCTGTGACACAGGGTTTTGTACCAGAGCCCATCCAACAGCTTGGATGTGCCAGACTATAGCCATGAGCTCTCAATGAAGACCAGGATGATGGACTTATTGTCAAATGCACAGTTTTGACTCAAAGTTTCTCTGGACCAAAAACTAACAGATTTGAGGCAGCCAAGCTTGCATTCCACATAAGCTTATCCACTAGTCTTCCATTTCTTTAGTAGATTACCTACAGTGGACTTTGATTGGAGAAGACAGGCTGAAATGGATCTGACACACTTACCAATCTTTATTGAAGATCCCAAAATCTCTGTTCCTCATTTTGACTCCACTTAACCCTCTCGCTAAAGGTACCCTTTACTGTGTATGACACAAGGTTTTAGTGTCTTACATTAAAAATTTTATTAAACCACTTTTTGTTTATGTTATACCAATTAGAATAACATAAAACCTTAGTTAATAATCCATACTTTAATAGTATACAAGCTTTAAGTTCTTAATTCTATAAGGAAATATATATAAAAAAAAAATCCTGAATTTCCACTAGTGTGACCCACGTGACACATTTTGTCTTGGCATGTCATCATCCCTATTTTATCCATCATCCCGTGAAATTGTATGAAATTAAACTTAAAATACTCTCTATAAAATCGCTATTGCTTAAACAAACCATAATGTTTATAGCATTTATAGCCTTCAATTTTGTTTGGTTACAGAGCTATCAAATAGAAAATCAGACCCCTCCTGCCACACCCACCTGTCACATCCTCTCTTTCACAATTCGTTGATAGTATTCTCTTACGTTTCATTATGTATTACCTATAACCAATAGAAAGTCAAGGTTTTCATCTATCAAATGACGTATTGTATAACATTCAGAGTAGCAAAGTTAACGACTAGCTTGGATGAATTTGTAATGGCTCTTGTCGCATAGTTAGAAAGCCAAGA